AATGTATCTCAATATTATGCAGGTATGGTTCTTGAAGGAGGTTCCATCTCAGTGGATGGACAAGGAACACTAGTGACGACAGAAGAGTGCTTATTGAATCCAAATAGAAACCCATCCATGTCTAAAGAAGAAATAGAGCATCGCCTCCAGGAATTCCTCGGAATTAAGAAAGTTATCTGGTTGCCTTATGGAGTCTATGGCGATGATGACACAAATGGACATGTGGATAACATGTGCCAGTTTACTCAGCCAGGAACCGTTGTGTTACATTGGACTGATGACCCAAAAGATCCTCAGTATGAAAGGTCTCATGAAGCCTATGAACGACTTAACAGTACTACCGATGCGAAGGGAAGAAAGATTAAAGTGTTCAAGTTGCACCTTCCTGGCCCTTTATACCGGACTGTTGAGGAACAGTTTTTCTTTGATGGTTGCAAATTACGACCAGCTGGACAAAGACTTCCTGCGTCCTATGTGAATTTCTACGTGACCAATGGAGGAGTTGTAGCTCCGAAATTCAACCACCCAAACGATGAACTTGCTAAGAAAACATTAGAAGAAGCCTTTCCAGGACGACGCATTGTTCAAGTATATGCCAGAGAAGTTTTACTTGGTGGAGGTTGTCTGGGTTGTATCCATTGTATGACTCAACAACAGCCACAATAAGGGCTTTTATATGAAATCTTTGTTCTTGTGTCTTTCTCTATAAAGGTATAATACGTTTTTGTTCAAAAATATTGGCAATGATTTGTTTGATCATCACCTTGTATTATTGGTTTGTGAAGTCCTTATATTGGAAACTTGCAGCATTCTCTTCATTGAGAAACATAGCCTTGGAAATATTAAAGGAAAGAATCGAATCTCTTTGAATTATAGAAATAGGAAGACATAGAAATAGAATCGATCCAATGGACATACTTTTTAAGTTTCGTGCCAGGACGTTATTACAGGTTATGATGTTGGCTTCAGCTTGCTATACTTTTTGTCTTGTTTATCTTATTTCATGTTGATTTTACTGCCTTTTTCGTTATTTGTATCTTTGATTCTTGATGCAAGTCTGTGCAAGCTTGTTTCAGTGTTTTGAAGCAGCTCACAGGATAATTGAAAGGAATCGTATACTCTTTTAAAAACAAGAATGTGCTCAATTGTGAAGTGTGAAGAAAAGGAGAATTGTATGTACCTTGTTCATCAATTTTTTTGTAGCTGGAAAAAAACATGGACTATTTGGTTGTATATCAAATTCCTTTTTATAGCAATGACATTTTGTCAAGTATCTTTATAGCAGTTTATTCATCGTATCGCACACTTTTGAACTGTAGTGAAACTAAATACAAACTTACTAGAAACCATAAATGATTCAAAATAGAAGAAACAGCATGACTAGGGACAAAACCATTCAGAGTTTGACATTTATAACGAATACTTGTTCCAGAGAAGGAAAACCACATTCTGGTCTGAAAAAGTAAGGTCTAACAAACTTCTTTGAAATTGTGGCATCGAAGCTAATTCTACTATCAACTCCAAGCTTATTGTGAAACAAGATATTGTTTGCTGGTTTTTCAAGAAACTCTCATAACATATGTGTCAAGCTACACTTCTTAATTGTTAATTGTGATAGCGTAATCTTAGGAAGACACCTATCGTTTTCTCTTATCATACTAAATGTTTTCATCAATATTCGCTGTGAAGGCACTTTCAGTAACTTCCTTTGCATTATCTCCTTGTATATGCGGTTATAGGAAGCCACCAAACGGTCATAGTTGGAGGGGAAAAAAAGTGTCCGACCTGATGAGTTGGACTACTTTATCTAAGGAGAGCTTTTGAAGTGTAATTTGTACAAGTTTCAGAATACCTTGTGGGGCTTTAGTCTAAAAAAGTTTAGTGTTAAGTACAGGACGTTATTGGTGTGTAGTTAAATGATTTTCTAAAGCTTTCCAATAAGCTTTTTGGAGAACGTTCTTTTTTTCGAGGAATATTGGAAAAAATGGAACAAACTTTTCTTTAATTAAAGAATCTTAGTTTTACACTGAAGCTACCAAAATATCGAGCTCACAGTCGTTCAACAACTTCAACCATTCCAGGTTTCTAGATGGCAGGTTACCTTGTCGGTAGTTATACTTTTGAAGCTTGAACAAGGTGCTTCGTCAGAAAAAGACTTGGTGTTTTAGTGGAAGCTTGCTTTTGAATTTTCTTTCTGATGGAAAGATTACAGAGTTGCCATACTATGAGCTCTGCTGCAACGACGACTGTTATATTTGTTAAAGGAACAAGGCATGAACTATGAAGATAGATAATGATCCTGTTCCGATTTCCCGAAGACACTCATGTACCAGGGAGGCAAAAAACTGTAGGGTTTCGACGCTTCCGACGCTAAAATTACAACTTATCTGCACAGATCGCTGCGATTTGTAGAAATGGCCCTTTGTCGCGTAGACTATTCCATTCCATCTTCAATACATTCCGTAAAAAGAGTTTCTTCGACGTCTTTTTTTATTGTGGATTCTTGATGGCAGTTGATCACCAAGAAGTTGATCCAGTTGCTACTAGCAGCCCAGTTGCTCCCATAAAACCCCCTCATTTACATGTTGACTGGTCAAAGATAGGACTTACACCCTCTAGACTACAGTTTCTTGCTGAACTGGTAGCAGAGTTTATTGGTATTTTTTTGCTTATTTTGGTTGGAGACAGTTGTTCGAGTATGGCTTTGCTCTTCTCACCTAGTCCTTATTTGACATCCTATTGGGGAGTTTGTATCACATGGGGTTTAGCAGTCACTTTTGCTATTTATGGCACGGGTGGTGTCTCAGGCTGTCATATCAATCCTGCAGTCACTGTAAGCTTTGCACTATTCCGAGGTTTTCCATGGTGGAAAGTGGTGCCATATATTATTGCACAGTGGATGGGTGCATTTGTAGGCGCTTTTTCTGTATACAATATGTATTTTCCCATATTTACAGCATATCTCAACAGCAACAATATTACCAAGCAAGATTCAGTCACTAGCTCAGAATCTTTCTTTACTTCGGTCAATGAGCATCTCACCAATTATGATGGTTTTATTGGACAAATATATCAAACTGGCATTTTATTATATGGAATCTTTGCCGTTACTGACCCATTCAATCCCAACTCGTTTAGTCACAATGGATTGAAAGCATTGCTTATTGGTTATGTAGTTGCAATGGTTGGTGGTGGATTTGGCTTTCTTGAGGGTTTTGCTATCAATCCTGCAAGAGATTTTGGTCCAAGGGTGGCTGCTTATGCTCTCGGTTGGGGGAAGGCTGCCTTTCCTGGTTTCCATAATTATTGGTGGGGTCCTATTTGTGGACCTTTTATTGGAGGTCCACTTGGTGCATTTATTTACGAAGCCTTTAATCGTCCTTTCATGCCAGGAGTTCAAATGCACGGAGATACCCCTCTGATGAAAGCTTGGAGTCGATTGATTATTTGGCTTTTCCCAAAGCTCGCAGTTTCTCAGGATGACTATGGTAGAACAGATAAGATGAATGTGATTCTTGAAGATCGTTTTCATAGTGACTATCATCATGCTATGATAGATGTGGGTCCAGGTGGGACAGTTCCACAAGAGTCCGGTATTGAGGGCCTTGATAAGAGTTTGTGACGTGGTTTGCATTTTTGAGTTTTCAAACACAACAAGATTCGTAAAAGCTCATTGTATCGATGCAAAATAAAAAGTTGTTGAGGAACGTTTCATGATGTCTCAAGTCATCATGAGGTTACTCACATTATGTTTTAGAAACACAAAAAAACATTATCCAAACCAGAAAAAGAAAGCAGCTTTTGTATTCGTTTCACATTGAGATCTAAGAAAATTTGCGAATATGCAACTAGAATGATAACCAAAGCTGGAGAGGGAGAGAGAGAGAGAGAGAGAGAGAATATTCCATCACCACAATCTTCTTGACTGATTGTGGAATACCTACATTCCCAGTGTTATCGAAGTTACTACAGATAATGACTGTTACAACTACTGCCATTCACAGATACCTGAAATTTCAATGAGAGCTCGTTTCCATTCTTTTTTAGAAATAGAGCAGTTTCTTTGACTGATTGTGATATACATTGTTCAAAAAAGAGACCGATTTTGGATAAAGACATTGATATAGAAGTGGCAATTTATATTATCGATATGCCCATGAGAGGAACACAGCTGTCCAACAGAATCTTGTCCACCCTTTCACGCTGCTTCAAACAGTAATTGTACGTTAGTTGCAGATTGTGGTTACAATGAAAATGTACTTTGACAGTCAGAAAAGATTAGGTTGAGTACTATGTGGGAGACATGCACATATGAAATAAAGCCAAATGAGTGAAAAATATGTATAATCGTTGCAAGTTGGCAACAGTTAAGGAATGCTGCAATAAATACGAAGGTGAAAGTAAAAGAAATAAAAAACGAAACTGGCTTCCTCTTCTTCATGTCTCTTGTGATAGTTTTTGGTCTGAACAGTTGTACTTTACCGAAGAACGTTTCGGAAGTGAGTCTTGGTCCAAAAAATTGAACCAACTTTCAAGAAAATGGCGTTGTTAATCTTATGGTCGAGGCTTTGTTGCATTCAAAAACGAAGATAACATTGCTACCATTCTGACTGAATACAAAAAGATAAGGACATCAGTTTCAATTAAGATTGCTATAAATAGTTTTATCCATAATGCCAAGTGCCGAAATCTTTGCACAACTTTTGCAGATGTTCTTGTCTGTCTTAGATTCATTGTATACTTTTGCTCTTTCTGAACAACTTGGCCAAATATTGTATTTTTCTATTTGGTTGTAGATTTGTCCCTTTGGTTTCTTGGTCAAACTCAATCAATTTTCGGTAAATAGCATTAGTTTTTATTGTTGGACTTGGCATTTTCCTTTCGCAATAACGCAAAAGAAATGATTTCTTATTCTGGTGATGATCAAAGGAAAAAAGTCACTTTGAGTGGAAAATCTGTGGACTGTATCAAGCTTTGAAGGATGTACTTGATGCCACATACAAACCAAACAAAGATAAGTTACTCTAGTACATACATCATACACTGTAACTTGATTCTATTGAAGAGATATACTCATGACCCTTATTGTCTGCAAATCTTAGGGAATAAATATTGTCAAGATTCAAAGAAAGCAAATCACGAGGTTCCATCCTTAAAGTCCATAGAAATAATGAATGAAGGCCTTGGTCTTTTGCAACAAACAAAGTTAGGATGCCGTGCACGTAAATCTCTGAATCTTGTCCTATAATCAAGAATTAAGGATAGTTTTAAATGCTCTGGAAGCTTTTACAACAATACAATCATATCGATATGAGATGTCTGTAGTTTCCAGACAGGGAAAATTATACAAAATGTCTCCAGGTAGTAAACCCTTCGGGAATCATTAGTGTGTTTGGCTTTTCATATGCCTTGTATAGAATTTGCTTTCCGTCAGTAGTTCGCCTTTTTAAAGTTTTTTTTCTTTTCGACTTGGAAATCACTGAATTTGGCCAACTGAATTGGCTGGTTGTTCTATTTAAGCTTCCTCCTTCGACGACATCAGCATTTGATTTGGCTCCAACAACAAGTTTCAAATAGTGAGTCACTCTTCCATATTCTTCATTATCCATCTCAAATTCTGTTTGTTTCTTGTCATGGTTTCTGCAACTTTGAGAATTGTATAAGGATTCATATTCTTCATCAACGCACAATGTTCCTTCATTCTTACCACAGAATATGCCGTCTTTTGATGAAGGAAATGTTTCCCCTACAATAACACTTCTACAACATACATTATTCGATATGTTAGATAGAGGTTTGCGACTATCCATTCTTAGTGAAACGCGTTGCCCTCCCAAAATAGCCAACGAAAGAAATCGGGTCTGAAACATCGAAATTTAAATTTAAAACGATTAATGGGAAGGCGGGTCAAATTGTAAGAAAAGCTTCCAGAAAGACCTTAAAAAGAGAACTTTAGGGGCAGAGGTTTAAGATGTTCTTTCTAGTATATCATCCAATTCAGACTAGATTCTCTGTTTTCAATATTACCAACATGGTATTCATGATCGTTTATTCTACCGAACAAATGTATTCGACAGACTGAATTATTTCAAAAGGAATGGGAAAATAGCATATCACCAGTCGTACCTCCTTGAGCCAGCTTTCCTTAGAGATATCGACGAGATGAGTAACTCAAGCACAGTAAACTAGCAGTGGTTTCTGTTTCAAATTTTGGATTTTCTCTAAACGAGGGATTTTGTAATATGTCAACATCAAACCAGTACGCACGAAATAAGTTCAAACCACTGGTGAAGGTAATTGTTCAAGGTTGCTTCTTTGAGACAACGTTCCTTTTTCTGATATAACTCAAACCATACATACCCAGTTAGACTATGTCGCTTGATGAGGGGTCCAATTGCTTTGTCGAGCAAATCTTGGAGAGTATCTTGGAGGAGGTAAATAGATAAAGTCCAAAACGTTGGGGATCTATTGAAGCGCACAATAAGCTTAATATTTTCGTTATGACATAGAAAAGCAATAATCTTGCATAAGATTTTTGGAGGAGTCAAGAGAAGTTTCAAGATTTTCCTCAACTGCCAAAATATTCATTCCTTGAAATTTAAAGAAAACAGTATTTTGGAACTTGAATACGTTTTCGAATAATACTTGCTTAGGAATTCATAGTGAAATGCCTGAATGACGATCCAAAACCTTCAATGTAAAAGAATAACTTATTTATCAATTAAAATGGGACAAATATATATCTACCATCGGAGGAATGTCAAAATCAACAAATATATATAGAGTCTGAACCATGCCACTAAAAAGATGTTTCAACAATGAGAATAAATCATAAACCTAACATTGCTTGTAATTCAAGGTTGATAGATTGCCCATCAAGGAGACAAACTGCTCCACGAATCGTTCAACAAACTGCTATCATAAAAACCCTAAATGAATTCCATAGGCATCTAAAGCATTGAGACATTCAATATCTTAAAAACTTTAAAAGCTACTCAACAATAAAGCAACCAAAATAAACAAGTCATTGACTATTACCAACATAACCACATTGTCCAATTATTGTGTATTTGCCAACCTTCTTTCCATATTTAACTTGGAAACGGTTCGTGCTTTAACTGACTGCAACTGCAACAAACATAAACAATAAAAGAAATAGGAATAACAGACAGATAAAAATTCTTTTCCTTCGTCTCTAAACAGGAAAAATGATCAACATCAACAAATGAGTCAACAAGTTACTTACTGCGCGACGAGCTTTTGCTTTGGTCAGTTGGTCTACAGCTGATTCTGTCTGAACAACTGTATTCTCAATGCTAGAACCAAGCTCTTCAACTTGTAGCCCCTGTTCTTTGATCATTATGGCAAGATCCTTGAAAATAGAATTGACTTCGCTGATTGAGGTTTCTATTTCTCTTATAGCTTCCTGGCGTTCCCTTAGAAATTCTGTTGTTGTTGAATCATATGAAATGTTCTTCTGTAACTGTTGCTGTGACTGAAGTTTCGACTGTTCCTCAGGAATTTGAATAACTACATCTTGTGAACGCAAAGGAGCTTCTGTTTTTTCAGTTACTGAATGAGAAACTCTTGAGACAACAGGCAACAAGGAGTCACTAGCAATTATTTGGTTGGTTTCTAATCTCTTCAAGTCTTCCAGAAGACTACGAAATGTAGATATTGTCCTTTGTAAGTCGTCGCTCACTTTTTGTCGGCGGAGACGTTCCAAAGGATCTTCCGTAATAGAAAAAGTCTTCAAAAGCTCTTCTGCTTTCAAAACACTTTCCAAACATTGTTCCTTCAAAGTTTGAAGCTGCTTTATGAGAGTTCTTCTTGAAGAAGGTTGACTAGTAGTAGCCCTCTTCAACAACAGTCGCAATTTCTGGTTGTAAGAAGCGATATTAGAGATGGTTGTCGACAGTTCACTCAAGGCACTCTCTCCTTCTGCATCTGAAACGTTCTTCCGAATTTCCGAAACACTGACATTTTTGAGAGCACTGTTTTGTGAAGACATAAGAGAAACCCGCAAATCCAAATTAGAAATGAATTTTTAGGAAAGTTGTCCAAATAACTGAAAGTTGGTTTAGTGAATAGCAATATGTTCAGAGCTTTCAGTTTAATCGTTGCCTTTTACAAAAAAAGAGAATGCTTAGGAGCCTATGGAGCCCTTCCTATTTATCAATGTGTACGCATATATTATGTATAGCCCGTGTAAGTTTAAAAACGGGAACTTGAAAGTATTTCTCAAACGATTCTCGACTCTTACAAAGAAATTTTGCTCAAAAAGGAAGATTTTCTACCAAATGACAACTATTGGAAAAGGAGTAAAGGAAATGAAACGATCAACAAAAC